CCTTTCTTGTTTTTAGGGGTGGGTGTGCCCTATTGCATTTAACTAGGATTGCAGGTGTGAGAGTCATTTACTTGAGCAGGGGCAGCTTACATTTGGCTGCCGAATTGAGCAGTATGACTCCCCACTCCACTCCAGCAACCGTTAACTGTCGCTAGCCTGGGCCTGTGACTCACTTATGTAGACCAGGTCACTTTTAAACTCTTAGCTACTCATCTGCCTCTCGGGTACTGGGATTAAAGATTTGTAGCACCACTCCTGGCCCTTTCTCATTCCTTTTGTCCAGGATATTTATTTTCAAATTTTTCATTGTATTATCTAATTTTTTTTTTTGAGACTGAGTTTCTTTGGTTGTCCTGGAACTCAATTTGTAGACCAGGCTGGCCTTGAACTCACAGATTCTCCTGCCTCTGCCTTCACTTGGCAGCTCTAAAGTATACATCAGGATTCTTCAACTGCTTAAATTCAATTTGGACAAGATTCCTTTGGCTTCGGTTGTCCCACTTGAGAACTGACTCCGTGCCAGGTGCTGTTCGCATGCAGGGTTGTCAGTGCCCCTCACTGCAGCCTCCCAAAGCAAGTGGGGGCGGTTAGCCTGTCAGCTTGGCCTCCAGCAACATCCAGCACCCTTGCTGTATTCAATCCCACAGTTACTGTAACACCCACTCCAGGGTTCCCTTTGCTTGACGGTGTGTGAGCACCACCAGAGAGAGTCTGAAGCCAGCGGCTTGGTCCCAGTGCGTCGCCCCAATCTTCCCATTACACCTCAGCCCCCTTATCTGCCAAGATCTTGCCACCACTAGACCTGCCTAGGCAGCACCGGGAAGATGGCAGTGGTGCCCTCGAGAGATGACACTGTGGCGGAAGCAGCCCCTCCCTGGAAAGTTCCTGCCTCGGAAAGAATGTCTGCTGTGCCAGGCTGTAGTCCCTAGCGGGCTCAATGCTCCATTGTCTCCACCTGATCTATAGACGAAGCTCCTGTTTCTAAGACTAAATGTGAGACCGGGCTTCTTAGAAACACGGTGTTCTTGACAAAAGGGCCCATTCTTCAGTCTGCAGGCAGCTGTTCATGGTCGGACTCCCCAGGACTATACATACACACACACACACACACACACACACACACACACACACACATATGCTGGCTGGCTGTGGAGGCCTCATCTCTGCCACACGTAAACACACATGCCACCTCTGAAGACAGGTGTGTGTGTGTGCAGGAAGCAGACAATGACTAGACCACAAAAGGAACGCCAGGCTGCCTTCCTGCCCTCCGCCACAGGTTCCTCTCTGGCTCTGCCTGCCTTCTGCCCTTCCTTATCTTCACTTGGCACTTGCCTTCCATTCTTTCTGTGGTTCACTTTCAGTCTGGAGAGCACATTGCTTCTAACATCACCTTCTAGAATGGTTTGTCTCTGTGCTGCAGCTTCTCTGGAATTGGTAGAGTTTTCAAGTTACTTTGGCATTGATTTCCAGTGCCGCTGTATGGTCTCTCCCCAGGGAAACCTGCACCAGGGTACTTGGCCAGGACCCAAAGCCCCCCAAACCCCCATCATCCAAGCTGGGTGACCCTGAACCCTGACACCAGCCCCCATCATTGCCACGTCCATCCCATGTTGCAATGGGATAGGAATGGGCTTTGCTGTTTAAACAACTTTGGTCCTCCCTGATGCCTGCCACTCAAAAGGTCCCAGCCCCTTGGCAGAAGCAGCTACTACAATGGCTCTAGATCCAGGTCTCAGGACACAGGCACATCCCATGGACCCTGTGGTCCTACCAGGCCTATTGGGTGCCCAGCACAGCCTTCTCTACTACCAGATACACAGTCAGGGCAGCAGGGACACCCAGGGACAGCCAGAGGTCCAGCCATGTGACCCACCAAGCATGGCTCCTCACTAGCTACTGCCTCTTCAGAAGGAATTAGGAGTGCTTCCTCTCTGGACAGAAAGGTTGACATACTGGTTTTGTGAGTCTGGGCACAGTTGGTTCTCCCCTCACTTGTGAGGCTCAAGCACAATGATGCAGCCCTGTCTGAGCCACACAGGGAGTCTGTAGCCAGTCTTCGCTACAGGGTAAGATCAGGCAGATGGCTGGTTGCCCTGAAGAAGTGCACCACTGGCTGAGCTTGGCTGTCCTACTCAGGTCTATACTGGCTGCTGATTTTATCAAGTCCTGTTTCAGCTTTGCAGAATTGTCCATTCCTCTGTATGGGCCCATTCTCAAATATTAGTCAGTAATCAGTGTTCCTTCATGGCCTCTGCTTCAGTTCCTGCTTCCAGTTCCTGCCTGCGTTTCTGCCCTGACTTCCCCCAGCAATGTGTTTGAGACAGCTACACCAAATAAACCCTTTCTTCACCAAGTTGCTTTGGGTCATGATCTTTACCACAGCCATACAAGCCCCAAGATGTGGTCATAGTCTGTCTTGTATGGCACAAAGGACCTCAGATCTATAATCAAACTGAAAAGTAAGGCGTGTAGACGCCACTGCCCTTCTCCGGCCATGAGTAGCCATGTCTGCAATCTACCCGATTCCTGTAGGTGAGTTTAGCATCTATGGTATAGGGCTCTCTGAATGCCATTGTCATTGAGGTTTGGATAATTATGCACCTTCAAAAGATGCCCAATGTAATTCTGATCATTCTCCTCTAAAACAGCCCCAGATTAAAAGCTTTCGCTGGCTCTTTAGACCGCAGGCCTGCAATTACAGAGAAAGAACTGCATTTTAGCTTCCCATTGAAATTAATAACAACGTCTCCCCAGTTGACTCTGTGAATAGTTAATGGAACAAATAGGATACTTCAGCGCAATGTGGGCTGGAAAGCCACCTGAGTGAAAGTCTGGGCTTCAAATGGGAAAATAATTCATGCGCTGCAAACCCGCACCACACGTCAGTGTGCAGGGTGTGTTCCTCCGTAGCAGAAATGGAGCTGGTTAACGAAGGACTGACCACACCTCAGCGAGTGAGTACCTGCTGAAGACAACTGTTTAATAACAAAGCCACCAAGGAGGCAAAGGGTGTACTGCAGAAAACTACAGAAATGCTAAAGGCAGGTGAAACGACAGGAATGAAAAGAGCCTGTGTTCATAGACTGGACACTTAAGAGTATTGGGAGACTAATGCTGCCAAAGTGATCTGCGGTGTCAATGCAATCCACGCCAAAATCCCAGTGATTCTTTTTCTTGCAAAAATAAAAAGATTGGGCAGGGGAGAGTGGGGTCCTCAATCGATGTCTTCGAGCTTAAGAGCACTTGCTGCTCTTTCAAAGATCCACATTGGGTTCCCAGCACCCACATGGCAGCTCACAACCTCTGTAACTCCAATCCCAGGGGGACCAGATGCCTTCTTCTGGCGTCTCTGTGTATTGCCATCCTGAGCTACACAGTAAGACGCTATCTTAAAAGGAAAAAGGAAAAACTTAAAGGAAGAGGGAAGGGGTGCATACACAGGATAGTGAGAGGGAAGGGGTGCATACACAGGATAGTGAGAGGGAAGGGGTGCACACACAGGATAGTGAGAGGGAAGGGGTGAACACACAGAATAGTGAGAGGGAAGGGGTGCACACACAGGATAGTGAGAGGGAAGGGGTGCACACACAGAGAGGTTGAACACTGGAGGAACTCAGAGCAGGTGGTGATGGACACAGCGGCATTCAGTACAGTGCAGACATATTGCACAAATAACACCCTGGCTTGTCTGAGCTGGGCCTAAAATTGCCTGAAAGTCCATCTTCTAGGATTAAAAAAGATTAATTTGGGGGTGGAGAGATGGCTCAGTGGTTAAGAGCACTGACTGTCCTTGCAGAGGACCTGGGTTAGTTCCCAGCACCAACATGGTGGCTCACAACCATCTATTGCTCCAATTCCAGTAGATATGATGACCTTTTTTTGGCCTCTTTGGGCACTGCACACACTCATACATATTTAAAAAAAAAAAAGCTGGGTGTGGTGCTGTACACTTAACCCCAGCACTCAGGAAGCAGAAGCAGATCTCTGTGAGTTCAAGGCCATCCTCCTCTACAGCCAGGGCTATGCGGTGAAACCATGTCTCAAAAATTAATTAGTAAAGTACAGAATGGATATTATTATTATGTTCTTGACTAGTCCCAAGTGACTTTTTATTTCAAGCAGGCACAGAGCTGAGTGGGAAAGCTGAAAGGCTAGCTGACATGCTTTCTGAGCTTAGGCAAGCCGCTCCTCTGAGCTTGAGACACTCGCGTTTTCCTAGGGAGGCATGTGTGTGTTCTTACCACACCACTGTGTGCTCACCTGAGAAAGCCGCCATTCCCCTTTACCCCCTTCCCACACAGTTTGTCCCTGTGCCCTACCCTGGTCAGTTGGTAGCCATGCTCTGAGTATCAGAGGTGCTCAGGAGGCAGGGATGGGGTGGGGAGTGGGAGCAAGAGGTCCAAAAGGACCAGAGAGAGTGAGGGAAACATGCATGGACAGACCCAGTCCCGCACTCTGGGCCTTAGCTTCCCTGTCCGCAGATGGGACCTTTTGAGAAGTCTCCATGAGTGAACCAAGGACTGAAGGAAGCAGGACGCGTCAGCTTGCTCTGTTGTGCTGTGCTAAAATGTCCCGGGCCTTAACGTAGAGGTCAGAACACCAGCTGGCAGTTCTGCAAGCTGGGGAGTCCAAGGTCAGGGAACCAGCAGGTCAAGCATTCTCTAGTCAGGGTGTCTCATTGGATACTGTGTCTCCCAAAGGGCAGGGACACTCAGCCCTCTTCAGGATGGAGGTAGAATGGACAAAGAACCAACGGGGTCCAGCTCACCTTTCAGGAATGGCATCAGTCCCATCCAGGAAGGCGGAAGTCTCATGGCCTCAACATGTCCTAAACGCCCCTCCTTGGAAACTGTGGCAACGGGAAATGCTGTGTGGATTCCGTAAGGGACAGACACCATGCAACTGCAAGATGTAGCAAGAGTTCCTGTGGGGGTTGGGGGTGGGAGCCAGGTGCTTGGCTCTTGGTTAAGCACAGCTCCAGGCATACCAGAGCTGCCAGGACACCTGGGGAGTTGACTGTGTCTGCCCTGCCTGTCTCTCCAAAAATGCTGTCTTCCTCTTTAGCCTCGGGCTCTGGGTGAGCAATCTGTGCCAGCCCCACTGGTAAAACTGTTCCTGAGACAGTGTGCCTCTGTCATCCCACTGAAGCCGACACCAGGGCATGGCATACGGCCCCGCCCTGTAAAACAATCAACCCGGGTGTGGCTTCGTACCCACAGTAGATGGATCACCACTGTGTTGTTCTACTCATCCATGGTGGGCTTGTGGATGGATCTTGCTTGCCAGTGACATACACCGTACTGCTTCTGATGAAGATTTTGGGGGGCTAGACGTCCTTGTGGATGATTTCTGCTGCTTCCCGTGGCATCCATGCACCCGGTGGCCCATTCAAACTACTGGTGTCTTGTCACTGAACAGAACTGGTAAGTTGGCGCTTGGTCACTGATTGGACTGAGCTCTAGCTTGTAGGAAGTGTAAATGAAGCGCACTCCCATTTATGTGTATCAGTGTTTGCCTGCAGGTATGTATGTGCAGCACATGCACGCAGTACCAGAGAGACTAGAAGGGGGCGTCAGACTCTCCTGGTACTGGAGTTACACAGGGTTGTGAGCTACCCATGTAGTTGCTGGAACTCAAACCTGGGTCCTCTGAAAGAGCAGTCAGTGCTCTTAACCCTTGAACTGTCTCTCTACCCCCAAGTATGACAATTTCTCCTACACAGTTTTCGCTTTATTGCACTGATAACATCTGCCAGCTAAGGGCGTGTTTCCAGAATGCCAACTCTAGCTTCTGTGGGTTTTATTTTTGTTTTTGTTTGTTTTTTTTTTTAAATTACTGTTCTGCTTAAGTCTGTTAAAAAAAAATCTAACATTAAATTTCCTCCTTGACCATTTAAAAGGCACAGTTGGTTTGGGCTGGCCACAGTCACAGGCTGTACCATCATCACTGTTCTTCCCCTGAAGGTGCTCTGTTCTTACTAAAACCACGTCTTCATCTCCCTTCCTAATGTGACCACCATGCTGCTTCCTCTCCCTCGCTAAGCTGGCTGCCCCCATGTGTCTCATTGTTCCAGTTTGAACTGAATGTCCCTTAAATGCCCTGTAGCTTGGTTCCCAACATGGTGCTATTGGGAGCTGATGGAACCTTCGTAAATGCTTAGCAGAGGACCTCCAGATTATTGTGAACACATCTTCAGAGAGAACTGTCAGATCACCCTGAGGGGGGTGATCTTCTCTCTCTAACAGGAGGCAAACAGCTTTGCCCTAAGTACCAGAACATAGACATCACAGCCGTGAACCAGAGCAAACCTGGCTTTCTCTCTCTCTTTTAAGATTTTATTTTTAGGTTTTTATTTATGTGTGGGCACGCATGACACAGCATGTATAGAAGTCAGAGCACAGTATGCAAGTAGACATGCATGACACAGCACGTGTGGAAGTCAGAGCACAGCATGCACGTGGACATGCATGACACAGCATGTGTGGAAGTCAGAGCACAGCATGCATGTGGACATGCATGACAGCATGTGTGGAAGTCAGAGCACAGTATGCCTCAGTTCTGCCTTTTCACCACTTGGGACTCAAAGGTCAAAAGCAGGTCACTGGGCTTGGGGCAAGTACTTTTGCCCACTGACCCACTGAGCCACCCCACAACATGATTGGAGACAATCATGGGATCCCCAAATTCTGTACTATAGCATACGCACCCGAATGCCATTACTTTCTAAGATCCAAGGAATACAAAGGAACACAGAAGAGGAAAAGCTTTTGTTCACAAGGACAGAAAGGAAGATGTTTAGAAATTGATGTGGGACGTTAGCTTCAGTAACAGAAACTTAGAGGGTTTTGTTGTTGTTGTTGTGTTGTTTTGTTTTTTGGGTTTTTGTCACATCAAGCACCCAGTTTGCCCTCCCTCCCCCCGGAGCCCCACCCCCCCCAAAAATGGAAAAAGAAAAATTTGAAGTTCATTTTGTGTTGTCCATACACTCATCGGAGCATGGTCAGACTCCTAGGGGCCCAATTCCCCAAGGGAAGTGTCATGTGGCAGCTGGGGACAGACAGCTCTCCTGCATCTACTCCTTGGCTGGCGCCATTGGGCAGGATCTCTTGCACTCACACACCACCCCCACTGCCAGCAAGGGTGGGCCAGCTCACCCAAGCTGGCTCTTTCCAGCAATTCTGATGAGGGGCAGGACCCGCTCTCCAACCTGCCAAGTCAAGCTGGTGGGAGGTGGGGCCAGCTCTACCATCCAGGCCCCCACCTACTATGCGGCTACTGGCCAGGGACGGAGTCAGCTTTCCCGAAGGGCAGGGCCAGACCAGGCACACACGACTGTATGACCTTCAGTGGTAGTGCTTGCTACAGACGACAACACGGCCTCTGACTCTATCAGGACCACAGATCCACTCCTGGCCCTCAGTGGCTGCACCAACCACGGGTCTCTCTCTCTCTCTCTCTCTCTCTCCCTCTCTCTCTCTCTCTCTCTCTGTGTGTGTGTGTGTGTGTGTGTGTGTGTGTGTGTGTGTGTGTTTTGTTTTTTTGTTTTGTTTTTTGAGACAGGGTTTCTTTGTACCTTTGGAGCTTGTCCTGGAACTAACTCTTGTAGACCAGGTTGGCCTCAAACTCACAGAGATCCCACCTGGATTAAAGGCGTGCGCCACCACCACCCGTCCACGCACGGGCCTTAACACCGATACACATTCCACTCACATCCAAAAGATCCTCTGAGCCAACAAAGCCCAGTGGCATCAGTCAGTGGCACAGTGGATCTCAGGCTTCCTCAGAGCCCGTGGCGGCACCGTGGACCACAGATAGCAACGCCGCCTCCAAAGAGATAAGCTTTTTCCTCACTGTGGTTTTCATGGTGGCCCAGAGCCAGGGCAATCCCACATTCAGGCAGAGCCGGGGCGGCAATCCCGTATTCAGGCACTACTTTGCGCAGGAGCCGGGTCTGCACTTGCATAAGGCCCAGGATGCTGTGCAGCACTCACCCAACTATTGTGTTCTGTTTTCCTGTTTTTCCCAGAGTGGCCCAGTTGTTCAAATGCATATGATTTTAAAGATCAGCTAAAAAAAAATTAACAAAATGGCATTTAAATGTCTATTTCAAAAGTGAGACATTATCAATGATTTTTCCTGCTTCATCCTCCAGAGCGGCTAGGACTATGAGTGTGTACAACCAAACCCAGCCTGACCCAGTGATATTTGAAATACCATTACAAAATTAAATTTTTTGTTGCAAAGACTAAGTTGATATTAAGTAAGAGATAATAAAAGCTTTGAATTCCTCGGCTGCCACTGTAATAGATGCTCAGATACTATTGCTAAAGACGCACATGCTATGGTTGCAGGACTTGAAGCAATCAAGCTGGCACTGGTCTGGAAATGTTCTTCCTTCTGACTAGTTTCCATAATGCTGAAAGGGGCTGTGGAGATGTCTGGGGGAGAAGAGACCCCGGTGGATTTACCCAGGGGTGAGCTTGGTGTGCTACAGTACTGACTTAATAGGCAGAATTTGCCTACTGCTTGGAAGCAATAGTGGCATGATTGCTAATGGGGTAGCAAATTGCTTTCAGTTTGGATTTGAGGCCTGCCCCACAAGAAGGAATTCATGCCTGGTACTGTAAACCTGGCCAAAAGCCCATGGTCAGGGAGGTCAAAGGTCCTAGGGGAGAAATCTACCACTGTTGTTTTTGCTAAATGGTCATGTTGTCAAACTGCCTTCTAGAGATTTACGTTTATACTCACAGATTAGTACTGCTCTCAGCCTTGGTCAGAGAATGGGTTAATGCAGAGACTTACAACAGATCAAAGTGCTGAAAAATAAGTGACCATTTAGCATTGAGCCCTAAATGATACGTGTTTATCGACCTTCTCAAAGCCAAGGGAACACTGAGGAATAAGAGGCTTAGGAGCAGAAGAGTCAGACGACTGGAAAGAAGGAAGTCTCCTGGACATGACACGCCGTGACACTCATGAGCTCACTGCACCTATGGTTACTTACACAAGACCTACACCGGATCAAACCAGCTGACGCAATAGCACGGATGGGAGAGGAGCGCAGTCACTGAGGAGTTGTTGGCATCTGATGGCTGCTGGGGCAGGAGAATCATTTTCCTTCAGGAGGGTGGCTGCTGGTAGGTCTCTCACACTCCAGTGAACAAGCCCATATACTCATGTACGTGCTGGCAGCATTAACAGTGGGTTATCAGCAAAGACATCATGAAAGCAGGAGGTCAGGTTTGAGAGTTCTGGGGAAGTAGTAGGCGAGATTTGGGGCTGGGGTGATCAAGATACGTTGTATACATGCATGAAATTATCAAAGACTACATTTAGAATATTATTTAAAAAATAAAAGGTGAGTCCAAGCACCACAATGATAGACATCAAAAGAGCATGGTACCAAACATTGATAACATGGGGCTACTGAGACACAATGGGGAGCTAAAGCAATAGATACGGTCTGACCCAGAACGCTTCGCTGAGGCATATATATAGTGCATATACTTCTCAACAGACACAGTTACGTCATTTTTGTCCACACTAGCCAAAAAAAAAACTAGCCACAGCCTAGGTGGGTGTCCGTGGGTTGGTGCTGATGCCCGATGAGAGATGTGAAGGGTCTTCTGTGGCTGGCTAGGAAGCCCTGTGTCTCTCTACACTGTCAGCTTGGGAGTCCCTACGTAGGCTGTAGTTATGGTGGATGAAGCTATGCATGAAGCCCAAGTACCTGGGATGGGGCTCATATTCTAAGGGCGGGGGAGAAAGGAGAGAAGGGTAAAAATGAGGCGGTCAGAGATGCCATGGGAACACTGAGGAAAAAGTGAGGGGGAGAAGGAAGAACAGTTTCGAATTCAACAGGTGCTGGAGACAGGTTGGGGGCAGGGTAACAACGGGCCGCATCAGTAAAGCCAAAGGGCACCTCTACACCAGGGAGTGTGGGCAGAACATCTGGCCACTTACAGAAAAGTCAGTTCTGTTAAGAGAAAGCAAAGCTGGGGCAGCGACAGCAATCAGGATGGCTGAAAGATTGTTTTGAAGCCATTAGAACAGAGTGTATCATTACAAATATTGTTTCACATTTATTATTTGGGGGAGTGTTGCTACGGGACAACTTGTGGAAGTCAGCCCTCTTCTTCCATCATATGAGATCTGGGGATTGATCTCATCAGACCTGGAGGCACATGTCTTTGTAAGCATAGCTTTTCCCTCAGGATGTATTCATTTCTATTTTATGTGCAGGAGTGTTTTGCTGGCACGTAGGTATGTGCACTGGCACTGGCAGATTCTGGGAACTTGTCCATATTGGGTTTCATGGTCTGAGTTGATAAGGATGACCGACTAGGTCTCTTCCTCTTTGTGCGGTAGCCTTTAACCTACCAGCTGGACCTTTTTCCATCCACGTACTAAATTCCCCAGGTTTCCAGAGGACCTGGACCCAGCTGGTCATTTCCAGTCACACCATCGAGGAGGCAGCTACCAGAAGATGGTGGAACCTTGGGTATGACAATAACACACGCATCTAGGACTGCCCAGGATAGTAACAACTGGAGAACCAATATAAATAGGCTGCCCATGCGTGCTTAAGTGTAAACAATGATAATGATCTATGTGCACTACATGCTTGCAGTACCCATAGAGGCCAGAAGAGGGCGTCAATATTGAGGCCATTGTGAGCCTCAGTGTGGATCCTAAGAGCTGACTCAGATCCTCTGCTGGAGCAGCCAGTGCTCTTAACTGCTGAGCCATCTCTTCAGCCTCCCCCCCCCCCCGCCCCAACTAAGCTTATTTTGAGGCTAACACAAAGGTATAAGGAAAATCCATGACAGACTAGTCAACTCAATTCAGACAAAGCATTAATTGTGGGTTTGTCTATGAAGATGTTTTTAGAGAAAACTAGCATGTGGGCATTGAGGGTGGTGTGACGAGTGTTGTTTTGCAAACAGCTCTGCACCCCTCCCGGGGGGCGGGAGAATTCACAGCCTTTCCTAAGACATCTCTGAGCGCCGGGAAGCCTGAGGACCAAACTGCAGTCAAATGTCAGCCCCATCTCATAAGAACTTGACTGATGCTGGCAGGACTTGGGTGGTCCCAAGTCCCTCTGTATCATGACCCATAAGTTCCCCACCTTGCTTCCTAAGGTACCTCCTGGAGATCCTCCCCCGCTTAGCTCCCTGGCTGGCTCTAACTTCCAGCTCTGGCCACTGAAGTGGAGGTTTCTAATGGAAACCCTGAGCCCTTTACTTAGAGACTCGCCGGTGGGCACCACTCTAATTATTCCATGGCCTAATTCCATTTATCTTTTGTGGTCCATTATGTGCCCCTGACAGGCTGTGTCTTCCTCAGCAGGTACACAGCCTACTGTAATGCACTCTGGGTGACAACAGCCACATAGACAGAGGGACTTGGCTGGCACCTAATTCTCCTCAACTATAATTTTATAAATGAACAAGGCAGACACATTTTCTGCTTTAAGATAAATATTTTATGAATTGCCCCTCTGATACATTCCATTATCAGTACATTATCCTTCATTCCTCCCGAGCCGAGAAGAGCGACATATACACTCAGGAGTACATTTGGGTGGTATTATTGAATACTCTGCTTTTAAAATCTGTTTGTATCTGTGGGGAAAAACATAATTTTGTCTTGTGGAAAGGAAAAGTTCTTTAAATGTTGTTTGGCCATTTCACTGGGAAAGTTGTAATATGGGACTTTTTGTCCGGCCAGTGTGGAGGGTCCTACTTTTTAAAAAAGACATCGGATTACTTTATGTTTCTCCTGGAGTCAGCCACATGGCAGAGCACACAGGAAAGGAAATGCACGCAAAACCAGGAGGGGGCGTTCTCACTGTCAGAACTGTGTGTTATTTTTCTAAAAGGCCCTCTTTTTCCTCACAGAGTCTTGCTATATAGCCCAGGGTGCTCCTGAGTTTATAATCCTCCTGCCTCAGCATCCCTAGTGCTGAGATTTCAGGCATGACATGTACCATACTAGCTCCATCTTTTCTTCTTCTTCCTCTTCTTCTTCTTCTTCTTCTTCTTCTTCTTCTTCTTCTTCTTCTTC